CACTAGCTCACCTGCTAAGGTGTTTGTAGGGACTTTTTGCAAATGAAACAAACGTAGCTAATATGGAAAAGGGGTTTCTACCTCTTTTAACACTTGACTGATCATTGTTTAATTACCCCTTAATGGAAAGAATCCAGGACATTAAATTAATAATTTTGTGAAAAAAGTGGTATATATTAAGCAAGGTTTTTAAGAGATATGTGGTTGCTTGCTTTACTGAAATATTGATAAATGAATTACACTGCTCTCTAATGAGTGTCAAAAATAATGACTAGTAAAGAAACAGCAACATAGAGTTCTCGAAATTAAATCTGGAAAAGGTATTTACTTCAGAGACAAACACAAATAATTTATTATCACTTTATTTATTTTTCAAAATACATACGAAACAGTAAAATTATATTTCAAGTGCTTTTCCATTTTCTTTTACAAAAGTAATCATAAACTGTACACTTCATAACAGCTTTGAGGTTTCATTGTTACATAATTCATCTGAACCTGACAGTATGTTCACACATTCTAAAGAAGACATTGTAAAAATACTGAAATGTGTAACATCTTTTAAAGGTGGATGCAAAACACTTGTTCTCAGTAAGACAATTATAGCTGTCAAGTTTCACGAATGGCTGGTTACCATGTACAAAAGCCAGAAACACGAATTTCAAAAGATTTTAAAATTTCTGTTCTATAATATGGAAGTCAAAGACATTGATTTGAACAATGGCTACGTATTACATCACAAAGTTCAGTTAAAAAGTCACCTTATGAACAATGACCAAAGGATACAAAGCAAGATTAAATATGATGGATCCAAATTATTCAATGTCATGTATGAAGAATTTTTATGGTTGCTATCAGCTTAGAGTAATCGGCAAATATTCTAGACTATTCATTAGTGAAATCATTATATTTAAAATGAGAGACAGTTCTTTTCTATCTTGACTTCTTGATTATTCATTCTGAAATGGAGGTCTTACTTCATTGTATTCCATAATTTATTCATTTTTTTGAAGATGTACCCAATCACGGCTCTCAGTTGGAAGGATCAATAAAATGTTAATATGAATGACTCGAACTGAAGTTGCACTTTTTGTTTATAAAAAACCACAACTGCAAATATTTTGTATGTTAAATTTGGTCTATCTGCTTCTTTCTTATATAATAATGGAATTTATGAAGCAATTCACAGTGGGGATTACTGTATTTTTAAAATGGAAAGCTTAAAGTGTCTTTTTAAAGAAAAAAACAAAAACTAATAAAATCCACAAAATGATCTACATAAATTGACTTAAGCCATGCAATTTTTATAGAGAATGATTCTATGGTCAGTCTGTTCATAGCCTCAGGAATTATAGGACTGTTTTGGTTCACAAACTTTATTCTACAGCAAAATCATAGTCAAACATAATTTCCTATATTGATGTTCAAAACAAAAAAACAATTTTGAAAGAGATAACAAAAACAAAAATTCAATCATTAACCTTCCAACATTGAGACTTACTTCTCTTACCAATTTTCGACTCATTTCTATACTATGCAGTTACCCAATAAATTGTTTCTGAGGAAATGAAAACATAAAGTTGAATAATTGAAATCCATCCTCTACAGTAAATAGGGATTCTGTGCACAAAAGATGAAATCACGACAAAATTCCCAAAGGAAGTGGCCTTTTTTTTTTTACCCCCTCATGACAAGATGAGGCATAGTTTGCTCTTTGGAGAGGGTTCTCATGACCCAGGTGAACTTAGAAGTTATTGTCAGTTTGAGTTGAAAATACTATTTGTGTCCCGAGGTCTATCAATAGCAAGTCATTTTCAATGTCTCGGTATGGATAAAAATAAGATTATTCTTATCATTTTTTTCTTGCAAAAGTATATTCAAATCATTTTAAGCACGAAGAAGCCTATCTTTTCTCTTAAGCATCCTCTAATTATTTTTTCAGTCATCATTTCTAGTATTCAGAATGTTGGCATTCAATAAACTTTATTAAGTCTCACCTCCGACCTTAATGTAGTGATTTATTTTTTAGGTCTTTATAGCATGATATTGTCATCATATGAAGTCAAACCCTGTAGCCTATCTTCATGATAAATAGGGCAAAAATAAAAATAAATTTTACTTTGATGAGAAAACACTTGAACTGAATATTAATTAAATGCCACTGTTCAAATATACATCTTTTTCGTGAACTGTTAATGGCAGATGACAAATGTTATTAATGCATCTTTGATTAAATTACCATTTACTTTAATTAACATAAAGTTGAGTAAATATAAGAAAAGACTTTTAATTAAATAGAAAATTCTTACTTTAAAGAGTATTATTGAATAACATACTGAAAATAGCATTGAGTTTAATTAGCTCTGTTTCCATGTAAAATACAAACTCACTAATTCTTTTAAATAATGGGCCTTAGTAGGTTCAGATGAATCATATCCTGAGCCATGTCTTGGAGTAACTATTAAAATGCTATGTCATGAGTTTCTTTGAACAGTGTTAGAGGATTTACTTTCTACTAAAAGTTAAAGTACAAAGGAGTTTTTGGTTCTGCATTGAAGTATCTTTACTTCCATATCCTTTAACACATCTGTTTACTATTTAGTTATCTAGACTCTTACTTTAAATTATTTTACTTCCGTGCTTTTGCATTATTTCTTATTGGCAGCAATAAATTCTAAGTCTAAAAACTATAAAAGTTTAGATCAATTAAAGTACCTTGGAACAACCAGAGCTGCTTCAAAAATAAGTTGTAAAGAATACAGATCTCTACATTTTCATTAGATTCGATTGAGGTTGAATGACTTTCTTAAATCTTTATCAACTCTAGTTTTTTTAAAAAAATTATCAGGTCATTAAATTAACTGGTTATTACTGAAACTAAGGTAGCAAAAAAAAAAAAAAAAAATCAGATGGCACTCCATTCTGTGAATACATATTTTCTGAGATAGTATCAAATACTCTTTTTAAAGAGGTAAACAAATGACCACGTGTTCAATGCTAAGATTTTGTGTCCTTTTATTTGTAATAGTCTTTGGCTCTTTTGGTAACTCATTCTGAAATAAGTTATATTTTATTTTACGGGTAGTAAAAGTTGAGAAAGGAGTGGAAGTTTGGCTTTTTAATTTTTGAAACAATACTTAAATAAAAACCTTAAAAGATTGATAGTTCTTTACCGAGTCTGCAACATTTTAAAATAATAAACATTACAGGAGAATAAACACAAGTGAAAATGTCAATTAAATATCACAACCAAGTAGGTTTAAATATATTTGCTTTATCTAAAACCTGAGTCAGTATTGATCAGTTGTGATCTCCCTGCAGTAACTACTAGAACATGCACACACTCCTCAAAACTGCATAAGAAAGTGGGTGCTTGGCTCTGAGCTCTCATGTCTTGTTCCCTGGCGCAAGTCCTAATGATATTTTTACTGAACTATGAATGTATGAATATCACAAGTTTTACATGTAAAATAAAGTACCAGAAGCAAGGCTGGCTTTTCAAAGAAAATTAAACGTGCCAGGAAAAACATTATTAAGAAACCAGTGTAAAAAAAGCATCGACTGTTCAGATTTTTGTGAGATTATTTACCCCACAAACACTATTTTTTTTTCATATTCAATTTCCTCATTATCCTGATTACTTAGTGAATCAGGTAAAATAAATGAATAAATAAACTTAAAAGAACATCGGTGTTGTTATGCTAATGAATCAATATTTGCTCCTTTTTCCTAGACTTATGTTTGGCAAGTCCCTGAATAAGTCCCTGAAATTAGGTATTCATTATATACCTAAGCTACAACTTCATAATGTATCAGTGATGTCATTAAAATGTGGTGTTTCACACAAATTAGTGGAGGAAATCTGTAACATCAAACCTTATTCTGAATATTTAAATAAAATACATTCTATCTTCGATCACAAGTAGAAAGAGGGTAAGTTATGTTTATGAATGTGTGGCTGTGCAGAGTGAAAATGCATTATATTAAAAGTGGTAGGATTACATTTTTATAATATAAACTATCATTTTAAATGATCATGCTTTATCGATATGAGGTTAAACCTCTCATGTACTGCATTAAAGATGACTTGTGATGATTTTCTCTCCTTACTTAAAATTATTTTACTTTAACTTATTTAAATTACTGTGAGAGATTCTCACAGAATTAACAAATTCTCTGGCATGATAAATTTATTCTAATCCCTAGAAGACATTTTCTTAAAAATTACTTTAAAACTTATTTTAACCTATGATTCTCATATTAAAGTTCCCTTGTTAGTTGGTTGCAGTTTTTCATCACGAGCACTGACTTTTTTCTCCGTAGGAGGCAAAGAAAATCATGAGCTTCGAAGAATAAATATCAAGTCCTTAAATATGTTTTCAGAAGAAAATTATTAAATTCACTTAGAAAACATATTTGCTAATTAATCATAAACTGCTAATAAAATAATTGTCCTCGAAAATGTCATTTTATTAAAAGATAACTTTTATCTTCCCATTTGACAATTGTTATTTCCCAGTAAAATAAAGAATTCCAAAATGGAAGTTTCATCTTCAGTCATTCTGTCTACAGCAAGTGGTTTTTTTAGGCTTGGTAAGGTAGCCAGGAATTTTCAAACAGGTTTCTTCTATAATTTCCATTAGAAAATTTAGCTAGGAATACTTGTTTTCATTAGGATGGTAGGTAACAAGCATTTGAACAATTTTAGGGAATTGCGTTTGCCTTTAAAATGTTAAATGTGTAAAATATTTACATCTCAATTAACAGTAATGCCATAATTATGAGAGATGCCAACAAGATTTCAAGGCTTTTAAAACTTTGTATTTTTTAATATTTAGAAACATGAGATTTTACTAAAATCTAAATTTTATAATTTCTGATTAAAGTTTCTCATTCTGATGAACGTGTTTTTGTATTCTAAGTGTAGATTGTCTTGCCTTTTTTTGTTTTGTTTTTATCTCAATCTCCTGTCAAGATAAACTTAAAATATGCATTATCCACAGTACAAATAGGTTCCAATAGGAGAGACAATAAAAAGTTGACCTAATTTAAAAGAAAGTTCTGTCATGTAAAAACATTTGCATAGTTTTTACCACTGGGGCTTGATTCTTGATCCTTATGAAGGCAAATGCCTTTCATGAAAGGACTGTGGGTCTGGACTGTTAGAATTATTTTTTTATTTTCATTAAACTTTAGAATTATATTATTCATGATAAATGGTATTTAATTTGCTGAAAATTCATCCTTTCTTTAAGAAAACAGCCAATTTTAATGATTAGCGTCTGATTTGGTTTAAAAGTCGCTATTTCTGTATACAACCTAAACAATGATGAGCACACAGACATTTATGGTACCTTTGGTGTCTGTTAGTCGGTCTATCAGAAATACAGAATCTGCACGATAGCTTCATGACACAAAATATACATGTCACAGTACTTGGGAAGTTTACAAACACTTAAAAAAATGAACGACTTCTAATTCTATTCATTTAGGAATACTAATGCTACATTTGAGATTAAGATTATTAGAATTTTAAAAGTATCAGTTAAATAGTGCAACAGACGTGTGAACTAATGTAACATTAAGACAATATTAAATGGTAGCCCAAATGGCTCAACCTCCATTTTTCAGCTACTAAATATTACTTCTTAAATCCATATTCAAAATGGTTCTTTAAATTATAGCTTTATCTGTATGTTTTAAACACACTTGAAAGACAAAGTTGAATTTAGTAAAGCCAGACCTCACTAAGAAAATAATTTGCTGAGAATGAAAGAATATATTAGATAAGTTACATTAATTCGATTACACAAGGATTTAATGCTGTGTAAATTAAGTTCAAATTTTCAATTAGAGTTTACATAGAAATGTGCATAACTAGAAATGAACATAGTTGTAACAAAATCAAAACCATACACCTGTGACATGTGCTACTTGGTACAATAGCAGCATAAACTATATTTAATTTTAGATAAGTATAGATTCTTTTTTAAACATGTATTTCTTTGTTTATGCAAAGAATTACAACTTAATAAAACACTCTTTGTGCTAATAGGCATATGACAGCAAGAATAAAATGCCTTATGGAAGTAAGGACTATTTGTATTCAAGTAAAATATATCAAGATGTCCAAAGTTAATAAACAGACAAAAAAGTAAATGAAAACTTCACAACAAGTTTGTTCATTATCGGGATATATTTTAAGTGAGGAAATCAAACCTTCTACTTTTTTCTTATGTGATGAGCGTATGGTCCTGGTCCTTACTATAATGGACTTATTTTGGAGGCATTACGGTGTGGAAGGTGGTTTGGGAGATGAGCAGGATCCTTGACTATCAAAACTGGTTGCCCGGCCAGGTAACTGAAAGACAATAATTTCATAATGTATGATCTAGTACAAAAACATAACATAGTAGGTAATTGTTGCCACATTTTAATAGTAGATATTCACTCATGAAATGCAAGTCTCTGAAGAGAAGATATACATAACTCTCCCTGCTCTTCAGAACGCACCTTCTCGGGTAACATGAGGGGCCACAAATATCTCATAGAGATGCCGGCAGAGCATGGTACAGACAACTAGTCATGGCTGTAGATTCATTTCACATTCTATGACTGTTCTTATTGTAAAATAATTATTAGTTTACTATAGATGCTAGGTACATGCAATAAGAGGTTCTAGACACAAGAGACTTTATTTCACACTGCTCTAAGGCAGAAATGGACTTTTATGAGATGACAATTAATGAGATGACAGGCGCTAAGTTTGGCAAAGGGGAGCCGCAGGTGAAAAATAATAATTTCTCATGGTTCCTAAATATTATGTGTATTTAAAAAGTTTAGTTGCAACAGAATAAACTTTTGATTATCTAGGCAGAAGTAACCAGATTTTCTAAATAATGCTTTACTCTCTGTCTCACCAACTTACCCAGCTCTCGAATTGTTCCCTTCTCATTTTAATCACTTCTCTGGTAACAAAACACATAATTATACACTCATCACTTTCCCACAGTGCAAAATCCAGCCAGTTCTTAGGTCTCTAGTCCAAATGTTTTGTTTGACCAATGAATGTAGGTGCAGGAGTTGAAAAAAGGAGCCATTTGCTGGAGAAAGTACATTTACATAATCTTTTAGTCCACTTGTCTTCTGATACTCCGCTGCTAGAAAAACATCTGGGATCTTCTGATGTCCATATTGTAGCTTATTCTTCCTGTATATCCTACAATGACTGACACAAACACATGCCTAGTCCGTAGCTCTCCATCAGATAAATGTACAAACGCTTACTAAACAGTCATAATTAAGTATAATATGTCCAAGGTTATATCATACATATCCTTTCATTAGTTAAAAGATCTTGCTCGCATTATCTCATTTCTCCCTACATTGTTCCTGTGAAGTCTGAGGGGCTTGCATTTCCATTTTCATTAAATATGGAGGAATGCAGCTGCAGACAGAGTAAATGTTCTGCCCAGAATTAGCCAGCCAGAGGACCAAGGGTTAGAACACATGTGTTCCTGCAGTGTGATTCTCTCCCCAGCAAACTTTACTCTCATGTCTAGATTCTTAGGATTAAAATTCACTTTTCAAACTTTAAATAAAAACCAAGAGGAGAACCAGGAAAGGATAGTAACTGTATAAAAAGTGGTAGAGTATATTTTATATTTTAAACAATACACACTGTTGAAAAGAAACACAACCTTCCCAAGACTCCTTGAGCTATTTAGGGAACAAACTTGTCTATACTTCTGAAGTACTTTAAGGGGAAGTGCTGTGTGAATGTGCATTTGCGTGTGTGTGTCTTTTATGATTTACAATAAATGATGATGTGAGGTGAAGATTTGAAACACTAATATATATATATATGCAAATATCTATGATGACAGTTCACCTGTTGTCTGAGCATGCAATGTTGGTACCATATTCATCAAATTTTACCTAAAATGTCCTGAGTAACACAGCCAAGGTTACATTTTTGTGACAAAGCTGAGATTAGAACTGACATTTGGTAGTTAATTATACTGTACTGCCCTTATGCCTAGTGCCAGAACAAGAAGCAGAATCTTATCCATGGAGAGACAGCAATATATTATTCACTTACTATGTAGTTATCATAACTATTCTTTTTATTGAATTGTATAAATTCCATCATCTACCACAAATCCTTTTGTCAACTTACATTTCCTCTCTAATTAGGTCATATAAATGACTGACTTTGTGACTCTTCAGGAGGCTCCGGTGACTGTCTTTGGGAACGAGTCATTCCATCTAGCAACATTCAATGCATTGAGTAGACCGACAACTTCATGACTAAAAATCTTGACAGAAACTGGAATTGATACCTCTTCTAGTTAATATAACTATTAATATCAGTTATAATTGAAGCTAACATTGTGCCACACTTAGTCCTAAGAACTCAATATTCAGCATTTTATTTAGTAAGCTCTGTGAGTTTACTACTATGACAGAGTAATAGCAGAGCTTAGAGAGGTTAAAGTAACTTGCCCCAAAGTTCTCCAACATGTAGTCATACAGCACAGTCAGGCTTTGAACTCAGGCAAGTTCATGCCTTGATATTTTAAAACTCTATGAGTATTTTTACTTCTTGACCAGAGTTGGGGAGATATTCCTATCCCCTTATATAGATGAGTTGTAGTAAGTAATAGTACTTCTATTTAGAGATTCTGGGGATTTTTAGATGAGGTGGCTGTTTTCACAAAGGAGAAGCACCAACATTCAGTTGGTTACTTGATTACTCCAGCACTCACTGACCTAAGTTTTCAGGCTCTGCCAAGAAAATAACAGACTTGCAGTTTTTATGGGCTAGTACACTGTCCAAAGGAATACCAAACTGAGAAAGTTTAGTGGTTTTTAAAATCCAACAAGGCACACAGAACTTTGAATATTGGATGATAGAGTCTGTGAGACAAAAGCACGAACAATATCTATTTAAAAAAAATTGGTGAATATATAAAATGTAACAGAAACATTAGCATATACATATTTAAGCAACGGAGATAAAAAAAAAAAAAAAGAGCAGGAGTCAGAGAATCACAGTTACCTCCAGTAAGGGATGCCAATGTGTTATTGGTTTTCGGTGATAGGCCAGCATTTCATTCCAGTGGTCTCGCCCAAGACCCTCAGCATCCAGTCCTGTTCTACACACTCCTATGACCTCATTGTGTCCTACCCTACGATTCAGAGAATATCACACTTTCATTCCAACATTCAAAAATAAATGCAGTTTCACACACTGTAGCAAAATTTTAAGTATATAATTAAAACACTGATTTTGCGACTGATTCTAGACAATTTTGCAGATTAAACTAGTTTAGGTAAAATAAAAAAAAACTTAGGTAAACTAAAATTTACTAAATAAGACCAGCATTCAAAAATAAATTTGTAAAAGGAGCACACTGAAACTATTTTAGTGCTCTGTAACTTAAGCACATTCCACAGTAATAAAAATAGTATGAATGTGAAATGCCAGCTGGTCCTTACCTATAAGATGAGTTTTTTTCTTGTAAACAATCCTATTAACTTTAAATGATGTAAATCAAATCCCATTCTTTCACAAGGCTTAATGTTTTATATTGGTGCTTAGATTTCTCATCAAGAGCTCAATATCTACTTTCTTGTAAAAATGACCATATTTAATTGACTCTAAATGATATGTCAGTGAATGATATGCTTGTACTACAATTAAACAGGGCAGGGCTATCTATGTTCAGCACCACAACGTTTGATTTATTATTGCATAGAACCAGAGCATGCTGAACAACATTCCTGTTTTCTATTCATGTCCTGTTTTCACAGCAATGAATCAAGGTAATAATGATAGCTAATATTTTTGAGAACTTAGTATGTGCCAGACACCATTCTAAGTACCTTAAATGTAGCGACTGAATCCTCATACCATGACCATGAGTATCATTATCATTATTTCATTTTATAGATACAGAAACTAAACATCTAGAGGTCCAGGGAACTGCCTGCCTTTACACACTTAGTAAGAGGCGGAGGCAGGATTTGAATCAAGACAGTTGATTCAGTATGTAAGCGTTAAGTTGCTTCTCAAGAATGGAATGTCATTTAAAGGGATTTCTAAAGGTTATTTTGATAGACTTCTCTAAGGAGACTTTGAGATGATTTTTGGATATTTCATTACTTTTTTCTTGTCACTGATATAGGTATATATATTTAGTATCATTTTCTTCAACATGAGGTTTCCCAGACAGGCATAGTTTTAGAAGACAATGTTTTTTATATTTCTGTTTTATATATTTAAGGATCCATCTTCCTTAAATTATTTGGGTGACAAATGCTCATTGAATTGACCTGCAATCACTACTGTGGAAAAGCAGAACAAGGGCTTCCGATAAAAACATTACTACAGTTTTAGAGTTTAAAATTTCAACTAATTCAATTCAAGAGTCTCTCTGTCTCTCTTGCTCTTTCTCTTTAATGATAGCTTTTTTTGTAAACTGTGATATAAACTAATTTCAAATAGATAGTACAGATCATTTTAGTTTCCGGTGTTTCATCGCTAGCTCTGAGTCAGAGGGTATAGCATATTAATTTCTCTTGGTTATAGGATCTTGGTTCTACCATTTTCGTGATACTCTAAAATAGACACATTTTTGAGTATCTGTATATGTGTATTCTGTACCACTTGTGTTATTATTAGAACAAAATAAGTGTAGTAAGGCATTGTCTATGTGCTGATAATTTTGTAGGTTAAACATACAGTATTCCTTTCCAAAAGATTTGTAAATATAAAAAGAAAAACAATAAAAAGAAGTATATAGCAAGGCCCAAAGAAGAGATATGAATCTTCAGTGGGACAAGAGTTCAAGGAGTTCAGATGAAGAAAAGGTTGGTTAACTAAGAAAGACACAGAAGTGATGACTTGAGCAGGGCTGTATGGCAGGGCTAGATTGATATATTTCAGACAGAAGAAGGTTGAGAAGATAAAATGTAGGAGTTGCATCAAGAAGAATCTTCAGAGCTACACCTGAGAGTTCGCAATTTATTCCACGAAAATAGAAGTGACTCCAAGTGTATGAAATGGAAGAGCTATCCACACGGCAACGTTTTAAGGCTGATTATTCCTATGGTTACTATCCATCTTCTACTCTTAATCTTCGCGTTCACACACAGTTCCATGTCATGCTAATGTTTACAAATGGGAAAGATGAATCCCCAAGTGATTATGTAGCTTTTTCTTTCACACAGCTAGTTAATAGCAGAGCTCCGATAAGAATCATGATATTCATGTTCCAGTTCAGTTGAGAAAAACTCCGTTTATTGAGATTTCTGTTGTTACTGTAAAAAGGCTTCACACTAATGTTTTCTATAATGTATTCCATACTGCCTCTGTACCCATTCTTTCACCAGCCCCACGTGTTCTGTCCTTCAACTTAATAATGACTTCTTTTGGAGAAGGAAAAAATATTATAACATGGAAAAAGTGAATTTTGAATGAATAACTTGTCCTTCTTCCAATTTACATTAAAACTGTTGTGGCAGTATATAGCCTGAAGGGTTGAATTTAATCTGCATGACTACACGTGGCTGTTCTTCAGTGAGAAGATAGATAGATACACGTACCTATCGTAATCCATGACCGCAATGGAGAGGCTGACCTGCTCCACATTCTCTGGAGGGATGTCGAAAATAATGGCCTCATTGTACACAGGGTTTAGAGTGTTTTTCTTTGTAGTTGTTTTCCTCTTTTTTAATCTTCGACCATCACACATCAGAGATACTTTGACATAAGGATCTAGGAATGAGAAGGTAATTTTATTAAAATAAAATAAATAGTACAAAGTACAAATAAAACTGTGTTTGACTGTTACTAAATAATAAAAGTGGTATATCTAACCCTTTGGTATCACCAGTTTTAAATTTAAATGACTTACTTAGGGACTGCAGACGCTCTAAGTCTTCTTATTTTAATTGAAAGCTTTTATCTTGAATGAACTAGAAAATAGTTAACTCGATCTCACTATTTTTAATACAATAGAGAAACACACTAGTGTATCAGGAGCCAGTCCAGAGCTATGTCTTTTAGTCACAGCTATTAGAAGACACATTTTGTTAGAAGTGATTTCTAGAAAATGTAACCCTAACAAGTGAAAACAATTGTATGAAAGTTAATTTCCCTCAAAATGATTTAGAATAAGTATACTAAAACTTGTGAAAGAGTAATATTATATTTAGACAAGCATATATGATCAAAATGAGTAGAAATTAGAAAGCCAAAATTACGTTAGAATTTTTTTCAATCGTTGGAAAAGGAACTAAATTTAGAGGTTTCATTCGAGAGTCATAGAGTTGGTGCTTGATAAGGAGCTCGGATTGAAGAAATAATCACAACAAATAATTATTAAATGGCTCAACGGTATACAACAAAAAAGGCAAATTTGGCTTAAAGATGGCCACAAGATTCCCGTTATGACGTTGTCATATAATGCTAAATTGAAAAAGAAAGATTTAGTCGAGCTATATTGTTATGAGTCAAAGGGATCTAATATTGTTAACAAGTTCTGTCCCAGCCGACTGATCTCTACCCCTCTTACTCCTGCCACCTTAAGAAGAACGACTGTTACAGTACTATAGAAAATTGCACAGTATTACACAAAAGTTTCTTTAAAAAGTCTTACATTTTTATTAAAAGGAGGGAGTGTTGGCACTGGAGTGAGCATGCTAGATGGTTAAGACAATCTTTATTTTTATTATTTTTTTTCATTCTGGTCACTCTCCACCTGTAGCACCACCACCACTTTTTCTCTCTTTCCATCAATGTAATAATAAACCTTTTTCCTTTAGAATAGGGCAAAATGATGGCAATATTAATTTATTTGATGAAATAAATGCTTTTTGAGCTCTAGAAAAATATATCTTTATATTCATAAGCATCTCCACTAAAGGGTAAAAACATATTTTGTGGCTAGAAATGGGGTATGTAGAAGAAAACAAGATAAAATTGCAATGTTCAATGGCAGTTTTTCCATTTACTTTTAATTTTTTTAATAATATGAAGTATGTTCTACAGGAGAAGCTCGTTTTTGTGATCCACTTTTGTGTATGATCCCCGAGGCCTACACCTCTCATTAACAATAGGAATAAGGCCTGGTTTATTCTTTGATGCCCCATTATGTCTCTGGTGACATTTCTCTATTCATGACAAGGATAATATACTGACTCCTTAGTTGATTCACAAGCCCTTTGTGAGAATTAATTTAATGGTGTTCTCAAAGCACTCATTCCTCCCACAAAAGCTTCTTATAAATAATGAAGTAATCTTTTACTTAATTACAACTTTGATGCTGTTTGCTTGTCTCAAAATTTGATCTCTTTTTATACATGGTAGAAGGAATAGAATAAACAATAATTTGCAGAGCACACTGTTTATCTTCAATTCTTCAACATTTATTGACCCAAAGTCTCCCTCTCATCTGTCTTCATACCTCTCTACTCTTTAGTTTTTGTGTCACAACAGTATATCTTTATGCAAATATCAGCAACAAAAATATATATTCTAAAAATCCCCAGTCTTACACAAAAAGGAGCATAATATCTACATTTATTTTTGCACCTAATTTTTTAAATCATTTAGTAAATCCTGGAGCTCTTTCTACACTAGAACTTAAAGTTTCCTCATGCTTTCTGTAATGCAAATTTAGTTTATTCACTTTTTTGTTCTTAAGAACCACGAAGTTATAGATAACCCCCTATGTCATCTTTTACCAATATCTCCACTATTTCTTATTTCTGTTTAATTCAACAAATGCTACTGACCTTCCTACTCTGCCCTTATCATTTTTTCTTTCACGGGACTTTGCTCAAGTTCACATATTCAATTATAAATAATCCTCCAGGACTGTAATGATTTAAATGAAGGAATAAAAGAGCATGATATGACTTTACCAATTTATCAAAGTTGGCACAAGAGAAATTTCCTTCAAGAATGTCTTTAAGAAACTTCGAGAGGCATTCATTTACTTTATTTATTCCCGTCTCTAAAGCTGCCAAATTTTTAGTCAGAAAGGTTATGATAAGAATGCCAGTGGTGGTCTTGGAAACTGGTTAGTTCTCTGCAGATCGGGTGAGAGAAATAAATTCAGTCTAAATATGTCTTCATGTAGCCCTCACTTGTAGAGTAATGAAGGTTTTAAGTGAATGGCTTAAAGTCCAAGAGTCTTCCTTTATAAGCAAGTGACAAGCTGGAAGTAGGGAAGTAGATGGTAAATTAGGCATTTCTGAGGAAAAAACTAAATCAGCAGAGAAGGAAATAAAATAAAAACCCAAGTTCAAAGTCGACATATTTGATAACACCTTTTAAAATTTTTGTAATGATAATGTAAATAAAAGAGGTGATCTGAAGTATACTTTAGTTGGTAATGTCTTTTTCTACTTTTATAGTACCCCACTACAGACAAATGAACTCAATAATTCAATCACTATATATAATTTGGGGCACATGGAATATTTTATTTGGGAATATACCCTTGACCCACTGGCCCGTGATGTGCATACCTGATGCGCCAGTAATATCCATAGCTTTCAGATTTCTGCACTTGATGACTGTCAATGTCATACGTCCAGCAGTTGGCAAATAACAAAGGGAAAACATGATTTCACCCAGATCTATACTCTCCTAGAAAGGCAATTGGTAATATTAGCAATTTCAAACACTAGCTAGTGAAAACAAAATACAAAACAGAGGAAGAAAAGAGAGTAATATCCCAGCTGCTTATTTGACATCTCCACTTGTGTTTCTTATAGGAATCTCAAACTTAATACAGTCAAAACTAGACTGCTGATTGTACTCATTACTGATCATCTTCCAAAACCAATTCCTCTGTCAGTCTTTCTAAACTCAGTAAATGATATCATAATTCATATAGAGACTGGAGCCAATGACCTTGCAGTCACTTTT